TATACCTTCTCCAAATTTGAAACTGTGGCGTAGAAGTGGGAAAACAATGTTCTAGAAGTCGAACACCTTGAACAATTCTTAAAAATGAAAGAACTGAGAAATTAAATAATACATAGGAAGGGGAAGTTATAAGATTAGTGGAAAGGTCTAACGAAGTTTGATATTGCACAAAACTGGTTTATTAGGCAATTTAACGAAAGACAGGATTTAAAGCCGTATTTAAAGGGAGGAATGTATCACGAAAATAATCTTTGGAGAAATGGAACAAGAGGGACAAAGAACAAACACAAATATCTCCAAACACAGCTAAATGACTGGTGCGTGACAGAAAAAAATGCGCATGGTCCGGGTATCGAACCCGGGACCTCTCCATTTGCAGTTCCCCTTCTCCAGGAATTATTTTCGTCATTCTTGTCCAGCTCGCTTGCACCTTTGCATTTAATTGCATTAAAATCATAACGAAAAATGTACATTTTTTCAAGGCTAGGCTGTGCATGATACCACCTGACGCAGATGATTTTGCCAACACCATCCGCTCATCCATCTTCGTCAAACTTTTGCCAAAAGTTCGAAGGTTTGCCTAACCTAGTCGAACCTCCGGTTCGACAAAAGTTTGCTGCGTCCCTAGTTTACGCTGCAGTTCACCTTACGTTAAACTGCAGCCGACACTACGAGTCATCGCAGTCGATCCTATGCCACGTCATGGGACCTACCGGAGAGGTCACGCGATGCACGATGACGGTAATCACGTGACACGCTTGGAGTACTGGATTGGCTATAGCATATGGCTCATAGTGTTCTCTGCAGGCCATTGTAAGGTGAAATCAAGTATAGCGAGGGAGAATATCATTCTCGTGTGCACGCTTGTATGGAGGAAGGGGAGAGGTGGGGGGCTTGAACAGCGTTCTGATTGAAGTCGAGCTTTGGTGTGGGAAGCCAACTCCCCCTCCGGCGCCGTGTGGCGTTCGCGTCTCGCTGGTCTCGACGCTATCTTCGGCGCCGCCGCGGCGCTATCGACTTTCGCAGGTGCCGACGGCACCACGCGCGCTGCTGGTCGGCGCGTGCGTGGACGGGGGTTCGAGCTCGGGTTTCGAGGCAGCTCGGGTCCCGTTCGACGAGGGTGTCGGGTGTCCCTTGATTGCGAGCAGCGTGGTGCTGTGCTGTTCTCGATGGGCTCCCGCCGTCGGTGATCCCTGGAAGGTTTTGAAGAGGGCTCGGGATGCTGTGTTTACAGGGACGAAAAGAAGGATTTCTCGTACGACTTGAAGTGACACTAAATTGAAAGTTTATTTTATTTAACTGTAAAAAAATGAGGCTGAACGATTTTAATTAAATTGGTGGTTAGTTTAAGAGCGAGTTGCTTTCGATTTCAGGCGGAAGTCAATTTATTCTCGCTTAAATGTTGTCCACCTTGGGTACTTCCCCTATATCATATCTAATCATACTTAAATGACACCGGTTTTCAAAATAATCTGCTTTTAAAACTTAAAAAAAAAATTTCTAGGGATTCCAACCCGTGACATGTGAACGCCCTAGCAAAGACAAAATTTTAGTGTGCCTGTCTTTTTTGTTTTTGTGCTATTTTGAATGTTTAACAGTAGCCAATTCAATGTACCCTCTGAATTTCACGGGACTGGTTCCCCGCTGAAAATGATTCAACAACCGGAATCACAAACTCATGCGCCCATTCAAAATTCCCGCGCAAAATTTAGCGGGAAAGTCTGATTTGATGCCAAATTCAATTGAGTGGCGGTTTATTTTAATTTTACGGCCCAAGCCCGGTAGGGGATGGAAGCAAAGGCATTTTTGCCCGACTGAGGCTTCCTTTCACCCATAGTTTGCAGCAAGTACGCACAATTATAGAAAAAAGTGCAGATACAATATTGCACAAATTTTCCGCTAATTTCCGAAGCAGACCGAGAGCTCAGACCTTGGCGGTCCTTTGAGGAGGTGCGAAGGAATTTCAATACTGCAATACTAAACGTAGAAAAATGTTTGAACAGCAGTAGAGGCTTTAATACACGACGTTTCGGGAAGAGGCACGTAGCCAAGGTTTTCTTTAGGGGGGGGGGGGGGGGGCGCCCATGACAAAATGCTGTATAAGGGGGGGGGGGGGGAAGGAGGCCCCAGCAAAATGAAAGATTTCGGGGTGGGGGGGGGGGGGGGGGGCAGCCGAACCCCATGCCCCCCCCCCCCCCCCCCCCCGGCCTGGCTACGTGCCTGGTTTGGCAACAATCAGATAGAAGGTGTGTTTGGTTTTGTCCTTTTAAAAACACTGGCAATAAATATATGCCGGCGTGTTTGGGCCTTTTTTGTTTCTGGAGTGTTGTGTCGGCTCTGTTTGTTGGACATCCCGTGAAGTAATTCTGTGTTTGTTGTTTTATTCGTTCACTTTACGCTAATCGCTTTTTTACCATTGCTTTCTTTTGGGTGAAGCAATGGTTATTTGCATTTCTTAAAGTTCGAGATTCCTGAGATCAATTATGCCATATAGCAAATGCACGTCCTATATGCATTTGTGGCTCACACGACACTCTTGTGTTTGTATTTCCTTCTTATATTAGAACAAAAAATAAAACGGTATATTTTCCTTTAATTGACTGGATTGGGATTCTACGGGCAATCACATGCTACTGTGATCACGTAGGCTCCCAAATAGATCACTTTTCATACGGGACATGCGCATTATACGAAGCATCCTGAATATATGCTTCATGGCAAATAATTAAATAATAGGATTAGACTCAATCTAGAGTTATGCTATCTAGTGACTTAACGTGGAAGAGCTCGTGTTAAAATGACAACCCTAGAGGCATTACGCAGGATACATTTTACCCGACGACAGTTTCGGCAGGCTTCTAGCCGAATTAAGAAAACTGTATTTTACATTTATTCGTTCATGAAGTAAATTTGTTTTAGTATCTTGAGACACCCACCAGAAATCTTTATTGATGTAGTTAAAGAATACAAAATGAATGCACTTGATTTGCATTAAGGAATGATGAATTCGTTTTGTTGCTGAAGAATGGAATAATCTGCCTAATGATGTATTCTTGACACATTTTTTAAGATATTGATTTAAATAGTTCTTTGGCTTGTGCTTAAGTAATGATGTTTTCATATTTCATTTGTTTTTGATACTGGGCTTTATAGTCCAGTTGTATGATGGATAATGTTTTTATTATACGAATTATGCAAAAAGATGTTAATTTACAGTACCATGATGTGTTTATGAATCCTTTTTTGTACGCTAGTTCAATACTAGTTTTATTTTATTTATTTACTTTAAATGACCTCAAGGTAAGTACATTGAAGAAGAGAGAGAGAGCTTAAAATATTAAATACAAAATAAACGTCATAGCATGTTTAAACAAAACAATATCAGTGATTTTAGCAATCGAGGCGAGAAGGTAGTTCTAATCTATCGATGTTTGAGGCTTAAAAGAATATTAGAATAACGAAGTTCTAAAATTTTGAATACCACCTTTATGGCTTCGATCAATGCGTACAGAGATTTAGAAAGGTTGTGTAATTAGTTTATGACGAAGGACAGCTTTTTGATGACATATTTCATAAAAGGTACGAAAAAGATATTCTTCGGCGGAGAATTAATAACGGCTTACCTAGAGTGTGTTTTATGGCAGAAAAGCTGGCAGTGCGATGATAGTTTGTCAACATGAAACAAGTTGAGCGGTTTTTTAATGAATTCAGTAAGAGCACTTAGTGATGAGTGAGCGGGGTTCCAGCCGAAACTTTTTGACGTTTCAAACAGGGTATGGCAGAGGGGTCTACCAGGGTACGGTGGGGGTTCCATAGTGCAAGGCTTGCAGTGTTGCATTGAGGGACTCTTAGGCGCCCGTTCCCGCATGCAGCGGTTACGCCGACACCGCTATATGCGGGAACGGGCGCCTAAGAGCTGCGCCCTAGAGCAACAAAAATATCTATGCCAACGTGTTCTGAAGGCCGAAGGCATGTTTGGCTGCCCTTCATTTGTAGGTCGCAGACAATTTCCCAGACGGCACTCATTCCTCGAGAAGTCTCACTGTGGGAACCGCCTGTCTAGAACTGGCAGCCGCAGACGACGGAAGCGACCTCTAAGGACGCGGAGGCACCGCAAGTTAATGGGTGAGGGCAGGTGCGCCATTGCGCTTCCCTTTCTCTCACTCGTTCTCTTTAGTGTTACGTAGTCGATGCTGCGGGAAAAAAGTGGACGTGTTCAGGATGTTCCCTTAATTCGTTTTGCGCTTCGAAAAGTTTGCAACTCGTGTCACACGGTGGTAGTTATAAAAATGCCCGCCAGCAAAAGAACGGCAATTGAAAGCTGTGCCAACAGAAAATCGGTTTTCCCTCAAAAAATAATAATTGCGCTCTCCGCTTAAAAAAAAAAAAAAAAAAAAAAAAACAGTTTTGAGAGTACAGTGACAGCAGTAATTGGTCATTTTTTCGTTGCGGATCATACAGTACCAAAGTCATATATGCGGGATGTAACAACAACCTTATTGGTCGGAAGCCGTTAACAGATCAATTAGGCTAATTATATCTGGGTTTGCAGTAATAACAATATAACAGTTTTATGTTGAAATGTGGCGAGTTGAGGAATGCCGACAGATTTCGCCAGTGACCCCTCTAGATTGGGCAATGCCATTGCTGCGTGATACACCCTAAAAATGCCAGGTGGGAAGTCACAATCACCGAAAAAAAAAATAGATTCAAGCGTCGTGATAGAGGTCTGTAGGACACCGCTTTAAGCGGTTTAAGTGTTAGATGCCGCAAAAAGGAACATAGGCCATGCTGCGGTTTAAACGGTTTGCTGTGAAAATTTAGTCTTGAAATCCTTCAATAAATCAGTATCTACGAAGGCTAAATCGCTGTCTATGAAGGCTAAATCGGTATCTACGAATTGCTGTGATAAATTTTGTCTTGAAATCCTTGACTAAATCGGTATCTACGAAGGTATCCTTGTGCGCGAGGGGAAAATGAAGGACCACGCAAGCACCGTGTCTTGTTTGGATGAAGCTTTATGAATTCGTATGTACAGGTCGTAAGAACACGTTTTTTACTACGATACAATGGCACCGCATACAACCTAACGCCATCCAGATGTATTTATTTACACAAAATGCTATTTTTTAATCTGCTTCTATACCCTTCGACTATCTATTTTGGCGCACCTGTGCAAGGGATCGCCATGCTGCTAGCGCCAGTACAAATCTAGACAACGTGAATGACTGTACACTTAGGCCTGTATAAACCAAAGGAAATAGGACGCGGGTTGTCGTTCGATTTGGATTACTCGTGGTTTAAGTTTATCTTCTAAGGAGCTTTTGTACACCTACGGCGATACAGCGCTGATTGTAACATGCATACATCGAGTTTTACTTGTTTGCCATTATAACCTGGCGATCTTCCACTTGAACTATGATTGGTTCCGACTGATGTGCAGAATCGCCTTCTATGAGTTTGATTTCAAGTCTTCATTGGACCCTGTAATCTAAAGTAACTGCAGTTTGCTCTACGCGAATGGTTCAACAGGGAGTCACGTCATTTACACGGAAGCACTTTTAGAATAGTCGCGCATTCCATAGACTAAAAGTGAGTGATCATGCAACACATCTCTATACAAACCAACGAACAAGCAGCGGAGATGATAAGTGTCAATAAAAAACGTTCACTTTCTGCTGCCGTTCGGCGAAATTGCAGTTCAGCGTACAGAATACACATTCGTTGACTGCTGACAGGATGCGTATACAACGTGGAGATCTTGGCCTGAGCTTCACAGGTGCCGCCTAGGGACCGTTTCACCGGATGGTCCTCAAAACTTTGGGCGTATGAAACATCGTAGCACATGAAGGGCCAAATGTAGTTACACAGGGGGTGAAATTTCTTCGTCATACGCTCCATTCAATCTTAGTTGTTTGTTCTGAGTGAACTCACGTATTAGATGTGAGCGGTAGTTCCAAAATCATACTACCGTAAATGACAGGAATTCTTTTGATAGTAAACTTCGTTGAAGACATGCTTTTGACGATCCCTAAGTGAAATTAGCCTTTCTAAATGCTTGATCTTGCAGGTTTAGGGACTTCTATAGCACGAAGTACAAGTGGGGTTAAGGTTCACGTCTTGCAAAACGTTCTTGAGATGCAGAGGAGCACGAGGTCCCAGTCACATTCCGTTTTCTTTTTTTTTTCAAACGGTGTTCAATATCTCTAAGCACACTGTAGCTGTAGCCTTGTCCCCTTTCACAGCATTGTGAGGTCCTATATAAAAACGCAAAGGGTTTATATTCCCTGTCGTGGGCAGCATTTTGTCTCAGTGTCTTGCAGCTCTCTGATTCAACGACCTCTAACAAACACACCGAAGGCTTTTTCCTCGATGACGTCTTCAGAGCACAAGATCGCGAAGGTCTTGCTGTTGCTGCTGCTGGTCTGCCGAGTCTTCACCCGATCGCACCGCGCCGTAAACGTCATCCTCGTCGTCGTCCTCGTCGTCCTCCTCTTCGTCCGTGAAGGTGACAACGTCGGCGACCTCTCGCTTAACGGTCGCCGGGGACGTCCCGTGAGTCCGCTGGGGTCACGAGGCGTCCCAGAGGTCCAGTCACCAAGTCCGCCCCTGGAGTTGCAGGTAGGACGGGCACATGGATGGCATCGACGACGCCATGCCGCTGCCGCCGACCCCCGAACCGGTGTTGCCGACCACCGACCCTGAGTTGAGGTCGACCGCTTGGCTGTACGACGTCATACCTGGGTTGGAGAAGGAGACAGTGTGCTTCAAAACGTGTTTCTTCGAGACATGGAATGCGTTTCAACAGAACCTCGTAATGCCAGAATTTTGTTCGTCCATCTGTCTGTGCATTCCCCTTTGTACAAAGGCGCAAATTGACGTCGTGTGCCTTTTTTGTATCACGTGACACCACGACTTTACCCCATTATGTCACGTCACATGACTACGTCACGTGATGTCAATTCATGTGGCGTCAATTTGCCACATGAATTAGCTCGCTCGCCACAATTTGCCACACGAAGTAGCTCGCGCCATCTAGCATTCCACTTACCGTTGATGCCCAGAGGACTGGCGCTTGTGGGCTGCGTCCCGCACATCATCCTGGAGCCGGCCGTCCCGTCTCCCAGGCACGACCTGTGGTGATGATGCTGATGATGCATCAGACCACTTCCTCTCTGCGACTGATGATGCTGATGCGACTGGGACACCGATGCCCCGACAGAGCCGGAACTGACGAGGAGGTCTCCAACGGCGTCTTCTTCACCGGAAGAACTGCCACAGGGCTTGCCGTCCTTGACGAGCACGGGCACGGCCACCTTGCGCGGGGAATGGTGTCCACCGCCACCGGTGGATTCGGCGTGAGAGTTGGTCGAGCCACCGCTGGTCGCACCGTGGTGGAGCTGCTGCTCGGCCATGGCTTTTTCTTTGGCCTGCCGTTTGCACTTGTAGCGGTGGTTCTGGAACCAGATCTTCACCTGCGGGTAGATTATCGTGCGTGAGCCCGTTGATCGCTACTGCACTCTAGAAAAGTATTGATTCCACGTTTTCTTTACAACAAAGTGACAGCCGATCATGGCGAACAACAGAAGGATACTAGCGAATGGCGAAGTTCGGAATGTGATTAGATTTGAAAACTGATGTGCGCATGCACAATAAACAAGTTAAGCGCCATGCACAAGGTTCCTGCGCACATCACATTTTAGTCAAAATCTCGGCTTCGTCATTAAATTAGTTTTTTTTTTTTTCGTAATTGACTGTTAGCGCGTTCTGCAGGGAAAAGAACTCGCGGCTATTTTTGTTTTGGTTAATTTGCTACTTAGGTAAAAGGAACTACCCTTGACCTGAAATAGTACAGTCAATAGTGTGCAATAGTTTTGTTTCTATTGCGGCATTGACGAATAATTGTATCTATTCTAGTGGACTTGCGTAGTACGGGAATAATATACACAAAAAGAAACTGGTATCAAACTAAGGTATCAGGGCAAACTGTTGCAGTATATGTAACCTGCATTTTGCTGTAATTTGGCGCGCTAAGCATCAGTACGTGACCCACAATCTCCTCGCGTTATCGTATTTTACTGATATATAAAAAAGGGTATAAGGGCGTGTTCTGCCGCTTGGCACCGTACGATTTACCGAGCGTGGTAGCTTTCTTTGCGCAGCAAGCAATGGCAAAATCAGGGGATGCTCAAATTTCTCTCGGAATGTGTGCACGCGATGGTCCTCGAGTATGTCGGGAATCCACCGGGGCTTTGTTCGTTTCTATTTTGCAGTTTAATAATGCTCTTTTGCTTTGTATGTCAAATACCTCAATAACCTTCTAGCTATCACTAGGGCTATCGCCGGCTACACCACTCTTGCGCAGAAAGAAACTTCACGGCGCGTTCACTGTGCCCCACTGGTTGAATGCGCAATAGCAAAAGCAGAAAGACAACGAGAGGAATGGTGACGTACTACTTTCAGCGCTTCTTTATATTGGCGTCATCGTCGCGTCGGGCTGCGAGTAATTTCGCCGGGTCAGCGCGGTTGGCAGCAGTTGAGTGATTGAAGACTAAATCCGAGTTCCCTCGACCTCACATACGGCGTAAGGAAGCTGGTGCGATATCGGTTTGCTCTTTCGAGCGCCGTTCGAACATTCGTGGAAGACGGAAAAAGCGCTTCCGGCGAGCTCGGATAGCGTTTCAGATAACTGCGGTAACGATGATTCCAAGCAACGAGCAGCCCGAAGGGTAATCACTCTGAGCCCTGACGCGGTGGCTCTTTACTTCCTTTCATATTAGGTTCGTCCACTTCTTTTGCAGGAGGCTGCAGTGACGTCAGAAAGACGCCGACCTCTGATTGGCTCCGACGAAAGGATAGCGGGTAGACATCAAAGCAAGCTGCCTCAATGTCTGCCTACTATCTTTCCCCTCAGAGCCAATCAGAACTCGGCGTCTCTCTGACGTCACCGCAACTTCCATCTGCGCATGCGCAGTGCCGACAGCAGCGCCACCGCACTGGCGTGACGTCAGAGAGTTGAGTTGGTCTATAGACCAAACAGTCGGGCGCTGCGTTCGAGCAGGGTGCTGATTTATGGGTCAGGCCTAGGAGGAGCGATGGGCATTCGGCTGGCGGAGGAGGGGGACGGGGTGGGGGTGGGGGCGGGGGGGGGGGGGGGCGGGGAGTTTGCTTAGATATGACGTTACGGCTTAAGCGTTGGCCACGTGTATTTTGTCGACGCAATATTTGATATGGCACCGAAAAATAAACTTTGGCTGGTTTATATATATGATTTTATTAAAGCAAAGCTGATCCACTTCCTTAAGTCCGCCCTTGCATTCGAGGTGCGACCACCATACCTGGGTTGGTGTGAGGTGGATGAGGCTCGCCAGGTGTTCCCTCTCCGGTGCGGACAGGTACTTCTGTTGCTTGAACCTCCGTTCCAGCTCGTACACTTGGGCCTGGGACCAGAGGGAAGCAGTCGTGGTTACACTCGGAGACTGCCGCCCGCGCCAAGGATCGCTGTCGTATGCATTGCAAGTTTCTATATGGCCGGGTGTTTCGGCGAAGAATGCAGACGTTTCTTGAAATAGCGAGGTCGAGAATGAACAAACTTGTTTTAAGAACAAGCCGCCAGCCACGGCGGGGGTAAGGAGCAATAAATACATACTGATCAGCGATTTAAATAACTAGCATTCGGTATTTAACATTTAATTAGCGAAAATAAAGAACCCTGAAGGGTATTATCGCTCAATCCTAGAAAGAACTCAGCATCTCGGCAAAGATGCTGAGAGTCGCGGCGTTGTGCTTGTCGTGTTCCTTGCTGGGCGCCTTACATTCGTGGCCTCCACAGCGCTCTCCAGGTTCGGGGAATTTCCTTTTTCTTCACCCCTCCAATGCTTGTGCCTCCGCGCACAGTCGTTTATTTCCATTCTTTGCTCTCGCCGACTTGCCTGCCATTAGGGTCGTCTCCTCATAAGCGTGGGTTAAAAAGTACTCGGGCGTTTTATTATTATTTTTTTTAATATTGTTTTATGAGGTTCCAGTTTTTTTTTTTTTCGAATTGATTATGCACACAAGCAAACATCGCTCGAGTAGTAACCCAAATCGAGTCCAACTCGAGTAGTAATCCAAACCAAAATATCTTGTTTCGCAAATTTATTGGATTTTTTATTTTTATTTTTAGCATATGTTTTTTTTAAACAGGAAGTTTCTCCTGGCAAAAATGAGAAAGTGACACCAGCGGTAGTACGGGCTCACTCTTTGGCCAGTAAAGTTTTTCTCAGGCGAGTAGACGAAGTTCTATGGTGTCAAATAAAGGCTCGGTAAGCTCGCTCTAGTAATCACGCACTAGAAAAAAAAAGCGCGGCGTACTTTTTTTTTTTTTTTTTACCGTCTGCACCATCTGCAAGCCTGCCTGCCACGGACGCCACGGCACTGAAATGCGCGGGTATATTCTTGATCGTGGTCTTCGCAACGCTTGAATTTGTGGATTTCACAATAGATTTGCAGAATTCAGAGATATCATAAACAGCACGTCGGAAACGGCAAAGGCTGAGTGTACAGAACATATATATACACACAAAGCGTTTTCGAGTCTAATTCCGCTGAAAAAACATTCCTATAAATAAGCCAATAAACAGAGTGAATCGAAGCTTTTCACAAAGTTGTGTTTAGGTGGCGGATCTTTTTATACTCGAGTTGTATTTTTATAGACTTCAAGAATAAATTATATATATATATTTTTTTTTTCATGCACAAATGGCGAAAACGTTTCTGGTTGACGCTGCTGCACAGAGATGGTACCACGTACGTTCGGATATGCTACATTAACTTTAGTGCGTTCATCTATCAAGAAAAAAAGGCTTTTACGTTTTTACTTTACGTTGCGCCATCTAAAAGTAGCAGCGTCAAACCAGAATGCCTTCGCTGTTTTCCTCTTTAACCGTAAAAAATAAAGAATAAAGCTTTTTAAGGCTGATTTTTTTCTCAAAGTCTTACAATTATAAATAAATTAGTCTAATAGATAGAACACATAAAGACGCCTTGTGAAAAGCTTCAATGCTCTTTGTTCGTCGATTTATTGACACCAATTTGTTTCCACCCGAATGGCGCTCGGGTATACACAGCCTGTGTAGTTCTGGGGGTTGCTCGACGAACCGCGAGAGAAACGCGATTCCGAGCTCTCAAGGAGGCTCCCCAGCGGCCGAAGGAGCGGCGTTCTCACCTGCGTGAAGAGGACGCGGCGCTTGCGGCGCTGGCCGAGCGGGAACTGCATGCCGGCTGCCGCCGCGGCGGCCGCACATGCCGCTGCCGCCGCTGCGGCCGCGGCCGACTTGCCCATCGAGTCTCCGCCGGGGCCCGTGCCGCCGCAGGCTGCCGACAGCGCCTGGCCCAGCTGGGGACCGCCGCCGGCGCCGCCGGGACCCCCCATCAGCCGGGAGACTGCCGAGGGGGTGGAAACACTTAGGACGCGGTACGAGTGCAGCGTTCGTATACAGGGTGTCACAAAAACAAATTTACAAAGGTTTTTTTTGTTTTTTTAACCGTCAAAAACAGACTAGGCTTCGCCGAACGCTAATTTACCCCCAAAGGTACCGCTAGAGGTCACAACCAGGTGCCAAAGTTTCAGCCCGAACGGACACCTTATTTAAAAGCTATAAGAGGTTTTCTGAAACTTTCAATTGGAAAATGGCGGCCGATGGAGTTTTCGAATACCATGGGGCTCTATGGCAACAGAAAATCACTTATAACTTTTGAATAAGGCATCGGATCGGGCTGAAACTTTAGCATCTGGTTGTGACCTCGCTACTTTTGGGCGAGTGAGCGTTCGGCAAGGCCTAGTTTGTTTTTGCGGTGAAAAAGACCCTGTAATCGTTTTGTGATACCCTGCACGTCGTATATACGAGAGTTAAAAATTTCACGGCCAACACGGTGACGTAACTGTATCCGGACGCGCGTGAAGCGGCCTTCAAAGCACGTTTGCTGATGATGCTTCCAAGACATCTGCAGACAGTTCACGAAGGACCAACGTTACATCGTGCAAAGAAGAAGCACGCCTCAGACGGCCTCAGCAAACTGTCTTTCGTGGGGTCTATGAAGACGCTCTTTAGAATCAAGTTCTCGTTTGCACACGCAAGGCGCCGAGCGCTGCTCTTGCGCAGCAACTAAAGTCGTGTAAAGTCACACGTATGTGAATCCGCCGTGCAACTGAAAGTCCGTGCCATAGCTATGGGTCCTCCGCCGGGACCTCGCCGTCGGGAGGGTAGACTGCGGGAGGGACGGGCGGGAACGTGTGTTCTCGTTAGATTACTTTATTTTTCCCCTTGCACCACAACTGTCGCGTCCCACGTACAAACCCCCTTGGCTGAAGTTGGAATTAAGCTGTAAAATCTACAAAATGAAAGAAATAATCAATTTTATTGTATCGTGGTGCGTTGTAGTACAGATCGCCTTGTCCGACCCCCAGCCCGCATCCCCGAGACTGTGGGCCACAGCTCCTGGATGCCAAATACCGTAGTGCTGCACGCCACCTTCGGGAGTCCAACGCGTGGCACGAATTGGACACGAGTATGCGGCGTCAGATCCCGGCTGGGGATTAATGTTCCGTCAGGTGGAACACACCTATTCCTGGTTGAACACATGCACAACACACGTGTGGAATGCGACCGCGCGCGTCGGTCTTTCCGTATAGGTGTCGTAAAAATTCCGGCACTACGGCCTTTTTTTTTTTTTTAATTTACCTCGGAGGTGTTGTTCCCGCATATTGGCCCATTTGCGAAAAGGTATTCTTGAAATACCTTTAGCCCGTATACATGATAGGGAACAGCAAACGCCAACAACGAGAGGAGACAGCTGCGATCGCGGCTGAAGTTTCAGAGTCGTATAGAGCACGAAGAAAGCGAGGAAACTCGCCAGATTCAAAACACGGATATCTCAGTGATGATATGGAGTGCATGGTTGGTATACGTCTTGGCGATGACCTACACTTTCTTGAAGATTAAGTTCAGAGGCAGAAAACGCTACGAGCTAATGTGACAATCCAGTAGTGTGAAGTCCTCAAGTCCTCGGCCTTTCGGTTTATGACTGGTTGAACAATGATTCAACACGTACAGAAACATCACTAACACCATGAGGCGCTCTTTCGAAGCTGTCTAATTGGTACCATCCGCTCTTAGCGTCCGCTGCGACTGGACATAGGGTGAAAGGAAGTACACGGAGCTGTATTAATGGATGATTGGTAACCTTCCCCTCTTTTCAAAAACAAATTTCATCGTTGTTTTTACCGCAAAAAAAAATAAACTATGCACCGCCCAACGCTCATTATCCACCCAAACGTAGCGCCAGCGGTCCGAACCAGGTGCCAATTTTTTCAGCACGAATCGTTTGCTTAATTAAAAGTTATAAGTGATTTTGTGAAAAATTCAAGGGGAAAATGGTGTCCATTTTCGCCCGTTTTCTGTAACTGGCACCATGGAGCTTCATGCATTAGAAAGCTCTGACGGCAGCAGTTTTCACATTGGAAACTCTAGATAATCACCTGTAGGTTTTGAATGAAAATCACTGAGAGTGTTAAAAGGTCGGCATCTTGTTCGGAACTCAGCCGCTACCTTTGGGTGGGGGAAGATGATTCGACGATGCGTACTTTAGTTTTGTGATAAAAAAGCTTGTAAAGGTTTTGCTGTTGTTGTTGTTTTTTTGGTTAGGGGGGAGGGGGGGGGGGGCACCTTGTGTAGTGGCAAACCGGGACTACGTGATCACAAAGATAGGAACCTATGTGACGTCTTTGATTTCCTACCCCAGGGGTAACCTCCTTTCCCGATACTGACAAGGAAGTTTCGCTTGCAAGCTTGCGATAAAGAACTGAAAGAACGGCTCAGTAATTTCCCTTGTCACTTTTCCTGTGTCGCTGGAGGATAGTGACCCTGCCCAAGTCAGGTCTACAATGGCAGCCCCTGGGGCCCCAGGGAATAGGGCTCCTCCTTTAAAGGGATACTGAACCGAATCGAAATTTAGAGTTCGCGAAACAAGGCTGGAGCAATAGGCGGTAGTCTGCAAGACCCCAGTGCATCACTCATACGGCGATATCTCTAACGGATGACCGTATTTTAGAAAACGAAGTGCTCGACTGATCGCGGCCGACGAGGCCAACGAGTTATGTCACGTCACGATTCTCATTCCCTCTCCTTCTCGCTACGTTCCCTCGAGAGGGTGAAACCGAAGCGAGGAGGAGAGAAGTGAGGCCGCTTTCCCTCATTCTCAATTGTTCCAGGAGGATTGTGACGTCACAATCCTCGCTTCATCGCGCCCTTCTTTTCCAAAAATACGGCCATGCGTTTGAGATATCGATGTATGAGTGAGGTTTTGGAGTTCGTAGCGTCCCGCTCAACGCTTCTGCGACCTTATTTTGCGAAATCCAAATTTCGGTTCAGCATCACTGTAATTCGAGTGATTCACGTACCACCCCGTCTGGCCTACATTACACTTCCTATCTGACAAGAAAAGTTTGTCAACAACACAGAAATCAATCATTGCAACGTGCTTTCTGTGAGCCTATATGTATTTCATATTCAAAAATGTTTTCAGCCTAACAACTGAAGATTAATATTATATCCTTAAATATTTCTTATTTATTATATATAATTACATATCATTAGATTGAATCACTACCTACTTATAAATCGATCCCAAATTTCCATATCAATACTGAGACACCGCCTACCTCCTCGTCACTCCAGACGTTTTCCTCATTTAAATGATACCTCCAGGGACATCCCCGTTCCAACTGAACTTTTTGCAAATGATTTTGTCAGTCGCCCAACGATACCGACCCAGCAGGATCAATTAAACATCACCAATGCCCTACAAAAAATACAGAAATGGTCAAGCAGATGGCAAATGCAAATAAATTATGAAAAAAAAAAAAGCGATGTCAATAACCCGAGGAAAAAAATAATAGAAAATTTAGCTAGTCTTTAAACGGAAAAGACGTACAAACGGTAGACAATTATAAACATTTTGGTATTACCTTTAGTAAAAAAAAAACTGACTTAGCATCTGAGTATTGACAACATAGTGAGCAAGGCGAGAGTATGCTTTTTACTTAGACGCACAATTACATTTGCAGACACTAAAACAAAACGTATAGCATATAAAGACTAATTAGAACTATGCTGGAGTATACTAGTACATTAGGTTTTCTCACAGGGCAGAAAAAGCAAATTGGAAGGCGTCAAAAAAAGGCGTTAGGTTAATTTTTAGTACATTCGGAAACCATGTTTATAGGTCACACTCGATTAAACAAGCCAACGTTCAAACATTTAAAGCTAAATCATCAAGAATCAGATTGAAATATTATCACACCTTTATTCGTGGCAAATTTAATTGATTATATCATGCTCTCCTAACCTGGACCGTCCAGAATCAATCCAACCAAAGCTATCCACCAGTACAAATTTAAAACACGATGTTTGCAAATATTAGTTTTTTCCCCGTTCAATAAAAGAATGGAGTTCGCTAAGTAATGAAATTAAAGCAAATAAGCAGGCGAGCTGGTTAATGATAGACATGATAACCCTTAAGCGAGGGGACAAAAAGCGACGCACAGACACGGGTCGCGTTCGGAGTTTCGTGTCTGTCCGTCCCTATTTGTCCCGTCGCTCCAGGGTCACCATGTCTAAGTAATGAAGTAGCAACGCTATCATCAATTCAGATATTTACTGATGCTATAACGACATTCTTAATTAGATTACTTTTGTGCGCACGTTCCTTTTTCTGTATATTTACGTAGACCGCTCATAAGTGCTTGTCCTTTTTACTGTATATTTTAACATCGTAAAGCCAAAATCAAGCTTAACTGGAACGCTCGACCATACGTACTTTCTGCAAGGCGCTAGCCTGGCGGCAGCCATGGGTATCAATGGGCCCTTTGCGAAAATCCCAAAAGCGTGCCCACGCCGCGCGACGAATTATGGGAGTCCTTGGTACGCCCCTCCCATTATCTTTCCTCCCGCCACCACTCATGACATACGCGAGCAGGCCTAGGTTACCAAGGCAACAACGCTCGAGCAGCCGAGTCGAACGAACACACGGAAATGAGGGGAGAGGGTATCCCGCGTGCTAGCTTGCGAGGCTGCCCCTTTCTCCTCACTCTTCTTTGTACCGGCTCCGTCGTCTGCTGCACCAACACCTTGCCGAACCTAGTCTAGCCATGCCACGCTTGCGGAGAAAAAAAAAAGAAGTAGATTCGGTGACGGTTCAAGACGAGGAAGGACTGTGAAGTTTTGTCTGACGGAACAACGCAGACCAAGGTTCACCCGGATACCACAGACAGCGCATATACAGCACGACGCCAACGACGTACGACTTTCCGGCGGATGGCTGCGACGGCTGCTGCTGGCGGTAGCTGCCCCGACTCACGCGCAATCACGTAAACGAGACGAGAA